AAGAAATCCATAGGAAATCATAAACATGTAGATATTCGAACAAAATATTGAAACCAAAAACGATAAACCGGCTATAAATGAACCAATTATGACGACCATTCGAGCACCATATTTATTCACCAATCCACCGGCAACTGGTCCTTGAATTCAATTTTTATACTACAAATTGTATTCTTAAATGAAAATTTTACTATACCTTTTCAAATATTGCTATAAAACTAACCGATCAGCAAATAACAACCGATCAATAGGGAACCGATTAGCGAAACCAAAGCTTTCGATGCATTGAAATGGTCTTGGTAAATACTCATAAAGGCACCAAACGAATTAGCGATACCATCAACCACAAAGTTTGACATGAATGCAGCAAATACGATCACCCATCCATAACCACCGTCTGGTGGTATCGGTAACACATCGTTTAAGTCTCCTTCCTCCGAACCATCTTTATCACCTTCAATGTGAAAAAAAAAAATTGCTGTTATGAGTTACTTAGAATCTATCACCTCGATTTTGCTCTTTCATAACACATCCAACGGTTTTGTTGTTTCGGACTCGGAATAAATTTTTTAAATGATTTTGAAAGATGGGTTAAATATTTTGAAAATACAAATTCGCAATTCAAATGTCAGTATTATATGTGCATCAGTCACTAATGTAGAATGACAACCGACGTAGCAAAACTGTCTCCATAGACTTCACCTTTACGCTTAATTTTTCGACCACTGAGTTCACTTATATTATACATGAAGTGACCAATACGCACAGCTTTTTTTTCTTTCGCATTAAATAGAAGCGCCAGATAAGACTACAATTCTAATGCAGAGAAAAGGTACAAACACACTGTAGCAATAATGCTGAGCGTTGTCATGATTGCATTTATCATCCATAATTTCGCCATTATATGCTTCTGTATCATCCGGATTCGCTAAAAGTCAAAATTTAATTCCATACTAATGATTTTATGACTCTCTTAACTAGAAATTTTTGCTGCTTTTTCAGACGATTCTTGCTATTCAGTTTTTACTAATGGGATTGAAAATAGTGTATAAGCATCTTAATAACAACATCGCACTAAGTTTCTCGGTGACACCAGAAAATATACCGTGCCCATTTCTTTTCGAATTATCTTCAGTAGGTAACAATTTATTGGACGATTGATTATCACTAACATGTGGTTGATCTTTACCAGTATCACCCTGCAAATCGGAGTAAATCACAGTTACAAAGCTGCACACTGTATTCACTTGACAGTCTTTTTTCCAAACTGATACTGCTAGCTTATATTTATCAATTATCTATCATGAAAAAGATTTCCCAACAAACCTGCGTCCATTCAGTAAGCCAAGCATCATTTACTGATTTAATGCTCTCCTTAGCAACCATTTTGTTACTTTTCTGAAACCGAAATAGTCAAGTCCACTCTATTCAAGACAATATTAAAAGGCGCAAAAAAGCATTGATCTAATACCTTTCAATGAATTTATATTGACAAGAAATCTGAGAGACTGTAATTCGGTAAGCAATGAAAATTATCCTGAGATAAACTTGACCCACTAAAATAGATTTTTCCAACTTTGAAAAATGGCATTGACAAAACTAAAATAGTAAAAGAAAGCACTCTCTGCTACTTCAAATGTTAGACATCAACTTTATGCAGTTTTTTTAAATGTCTTATGATTGTGACAAAAATCTTGAAAAAATGATGCAATAAACATTTGAATTTTGAAATCAAATTTTCTTTCACAGATAATATAACACATTTGTGTAACTTCGAAACCTATACGTTATTAAATCGCTATTTCACAAGGATCAAAATAAAATATACCTCAGCAAATCACTATTCCCTTTCAGTTGAACTTCTAAAGCATCAGCAGATTTTTGTATTTAATTACAAAACATGCTTAATTAAAGAACCTTCGATTTATAAAAAAAGCGACAGAAGGTGAGAACAACAAATGCACAAGAAATCATAAGAATCACAGAGTGGTAGGAAAAAATAACGCATAAGCGGTTATATGACCGTATTCAAAATCTAGTATAAATGAGTTCAAAAAAAGATGAATTGTGAAATAAGAAATGGAAGACACCTCAAGCTTCGAAAAGTTTGATGATGTCAGTGGTTCTGTCCAATTCTGTATCATTCAAGTATCATGCTAAAATTATTTGTGGCATTAACACCAGAATAGTTAACATGTTAATAGAGCGTTAAATTAGTTTCATGCATTCTTAAATTGGGATCTTACAAAATACAATAAAAGCAATGCACACTCCACATCAAATGGTTCGGAAAATTAGAACGTCGTATAAATTGTGGAATTCTCTCATCAACAGAAGCTCTTTAATGTTCATCGGAGAATGAACATTAAAGAGTCAATAGTTAAACCAGATGCTTTTTCGTTTTCTTTCCTAACAAAAATTTTTAAATGATTTCAAGGTTAACCGTTTTTTTTTTTGGTTTGTGAAGCAACCAGAAAATTTGCGAAATCAAAGTTCACCACAAATCAAACAAACTTGGCAGGCTAGGTCTGTAATGCACTTTTAAATTCCCCAAGTGTTTTTCAGTAATTAGGAGAGCTACAAATTCACCACACCGCTTTAACAGAATTACATTAAATGTCGTAGAATATACTAAAGGATAAGTGTTAACTTATAATGGAATCAGGTTGGCTGAAGCTTATTTTTAGAATGACTAGTAGATAGAACGATGAGAAAACTGTTCAAAACGATGAAAAATTCGAAGACAATTTGGAATCATGCGTTTTCTAAATTTCATTAAATATAAATTTTGTCTTTTATATTTTTGGGATGAAAATAGCTGAAGATAAGAAAGTCATGGAGAAAAGGAGAATGTTACTGAAAAATCACTTAGGAATAAAAGCTTTATAATCATCCAAACGTTTACAATACCTGCTTATATGATTATTAATACTTTTGAATAAAGTATTCTTCATTTTCCAAGCATGTCTGTTAACCATTCTGATATGAAAAAGATCGAAATAGTCAGGAAATGCAAAATCATAAACAGTTGTTTGCTCTAATTCAACTATTGTTTGCTGAATATGCGGGCATTCTGTGAGCCAAAATTTTTTTGCAATTAATCAAAGAACAAAATTTTCTTCGAAATGAATGATTCTATTCGCTACACATCGAAACCACATATAATATCCTTTAAATTATTCTCGGCATTTTTCATCCTTTAACAGTGAAGTTTCCCCTCTTCTAAACCGCACCATAAACATGGAATATCTTTCTTTAAATGAACAAAAATATTGGGAAAATATGCATAGACTGTAGAATAGAGCGTTTCACAGTTTTCTTAACCAACAACCGGTGATTACGAGGATGAGAATCTATAAAAGATAAAAAAAAATCATTACCTTTTCTTTTGAAGCACACAGTTGCTTCGTTCATCGCTTAGACATAAAAAAATCGTCCAAAAGCGATGATCAAATCAACAATAAGAAAAATAACCTGTCGGACCAAATTAAGAAAGAAAACGAGAAGCAAGGGCGATAGTGTAGAAGGATAAACATTATATTGAATCACCCTAATCGAGATCTATATCAAATACATAAGTCAAATAATTTTACAATTGTTTATATTCATTAATAACAGAAATGGTAAATGTTATTTTTATATATTAGTCAACTCTTGGCTTATTCTCAAGCAGTACTCGGAGAGAAAAGAAATGAAATTCCATTTTAAAATAAATGTAACTCGAATCCAAGCAGTGGGAAACAATTATTAGTAGATGACATCGAAGTGAGCAATTCTCTCTCCTCAAAACGATACTCTTTGCTAATGAAAATATGAATTGATAGGAAACCAGAAATACTAGAAAAATCGGAGTGAATAAGAGAATTAAAGGATGGCAGAGTTTTGAGGGAAATTAAAGCACAATGTTGCAAAGGTTACTGATGCAAACCGCTCGACATACCAAACGGTTACACATATTCATGATAACATCTCTGGTTGTCTGCAACATTACATGCGCCTCTCTGCTTCTGGATTATTTATATTTTTTCCAGCTAAGTTGAATTAATAAAAAGCAGCAATATGTAAATATCAAATATCGATCATATAGAATATGTAAATATTGATCATACGGAAGTCTTTTTTTTGCAAAAATATCATCAAAATATGATGGGAGGATGTATTCGAATGCCAGATTCTATGTATTCCAAATAAATCCATCATTGTACAATTAAAGACTTGCTTTTGCAGAAGCAGGTATTATTTAAAAAAAGAGACATTATTCATATTTGATCAATTTCACATCTCAAGTTCTATCAACAATTTCACTTCCACAGTTGTAACACATTCTGTTTGTTGCATGTTGATATTTGGATAACGAAATGCGGCTCGCTAGTTACAATTTCAGTCCACAGCAAAAGAAGGGAACAACACAGACTGTTGGCACTACAAAACGTTTTGAAAAGAACGAAATGCGGAGAGGGGTTCAAGTTTCATAGAGAATGGAAAAAAGAACCTGATAATTTGAATTATGGCCTACAAAAACCATTCTCCTAGGAATGGCATGGTGTAAGGGATCAAAAAAAAAGAAAAAAAAAACAATCTATTGATCTACAGAAGACAGAAAGAGATAGAAAGGAAACGTAATTGTTTGAGTCAAAACCTATGATATCTTTTAATTAATTTTGATAAAATGTTGATTAAAGATATTTGAACTGAGAGCAGTTTTTGCAGTATAGTGATATCTATACAGCATTTCATTAATATTATTTCATATTTATGACTTTAATTCATGCATAATTCCGTCTCACATTCACTTGTATATTTTACTTATGTTTAGTTATGTTCGTCTCATGCAAATTAAAAGTAATGAGGTCATTTCTAAAGTAGCTACTGGCAGAAACTAGCAGAAAATGTGCAGAACATTAGAAGATAATATTATTTTAAGATATGCTCAGGTGTAAAGGCATTTTTCCACATAAAGCTAAAAAGGATGCAATCCAAATATGGCACTGAACTTGAAACCTCGAGCGTCACATCTTAGAAACATACAATATATATTAGTATTAAATGGAAGCATATTCATTTAATACTAATTTGTATTACATGTTTTTCAAGGCTTAGCAACTCATACCGAATGAACGCGCATGACAAACTGGTTCTGGCTCACACAAAAGCAAAATTTAACCAAACACCGCCGATCACTGAAATCAAGTACAACTATGCAAACAGCGGCATTTAGAAATGAATTTTGTACGAATTACTGATGAGAAGGGTAAGAGATAAGACAATGGAGCGGAGATGAAAATTGAAGTATGTGAGTGATTTACTCAAGTATTTATCTGTTAGAGAGCATAACTTCAACATCGAATGAGGAAAGCAATCACAAGCAGAAAGAGGAAACTCAAACAATGCCTTAAGTCCTTTTCTTCTCTTGAATCACTTCTCTAAATTAATTAGAATGAAAAGGGAAAGAAAATTGCCACCCTTTCGCATATCGATTAGGATAAGAAGATGAAAAGTCAAAATGTCTCGCGTTTATCGCCGGGATGGAAATATATCAGAATGTTGGCGTGCATTGCTTGATAAATGACCACAAGGAGGTAGCAGTGATAACGACTAAAGAGTGAAATTTAGAATGGAACAACGACTCTCCCTAGCACACCCAACATCCAGGACCGATCGCACACACATACACACGCTTAGACTTTCAAAAGCACAATGCGACATAGAGAGACAGATGACTGCACCATCAGGGAACAAACAAAGTCATACCGGCGCTATCAGTCCTTCCAGCAAGCGTCGAATGGATTAGACGATACGATTAATGAGAGCTAGCATCAGTCGTTTGCATACACCGCGTCAAGTGGACAGAAATCTAATACAGTAACTCGCCTTTGGTAAACATACAAATGTTTAATTTTGAAATAGAAACAACGAAAAAAAAAGTGTTAGAATGGACAGTTGTTGACAAAATACAGAATTGGAGACAAATAACAAGTAATCAGTCAAAATCACAAGTTATTCTTTGCATGTTGGTGTGAAGAGGAAATTTAAAACAATGGTAGAATGCAGATGAAAAAGCAAAATATGCTGCAATGTAGAAATTCTGAACAGCAGAATCCATTCAGGATTATCAGTACTGCTCAACTAATCTATCTAACGCATATCAATTTAATATGGAAACAACGAGTCTAAGCCTACGTAGAAACAACTGAATGATTAAAAGCGCTGTCTGAAGCTACAAATTCTCTTCACACTTAGCATTTAACAGCTCTACTTCCATGTCACTCATCTATTTTAAAAATTTTATCTTTAAAGTTGGCGATAATAATAACACGATTAGTTATGAACAATCTCACAAGGATAATTTTTCCTCGAATGACAACTCGTTTTACAACAAGTGTAAAATAGATTTGTTACATGGTTAATCCAAATATTTCATTAATGAAGCATCTATATTTTTCCGTTCCAGCTTATCACATGCTGACAGCTTTTCTATGCCATATGGGAATAAAAAATTCATCAAGTAAATTTTTTTACTTGACTGAACTTTTTCCTTATTCATAAAACAACATTATTCATTTCAACAAATAAGACGAAAAAATACCACATCAAGTTTGCAATGCCTTCCACTACAATAAGATGGCTTTTAAAAGTTTCGTTTCAATTTTTCAGTACTTCTTATAATATAAAGATATTAAAATAAAGCCTTCTTCAAAATTCATTGAAATTCTCACTAAAGTGTTTAAAAGAGTTTTTCCAAAACTAAAAAAAAACAAATTTAAGATAATTAGGCAAATCGAATTTTGTTAGTGAGGGCAAGAAAAAGGAAGAGACACGTAGAAGGACAAATAGAGAGAAATGGAATTTTAAAAAGTAACTAATCTAACTACGCAAAACTTTTAAATAAGATAACAGGTGAGTTATGGCTAAAATTTCCCTGATTTTGTTGTTATTTTTTTAGGTGAAACAAATACAATGAGTAAAGGAGAAAAGGTATTGCAATTGCGCTCATTTACTCACTGACTTATTTCATATCTGAAAACAGCACATACTTGAAGGCGCTTAAGAACCATAATTAGATCCTTTTTTGGTTAAAATAAAACATAACACTGTTAATTTTCTTCTAATTACCCACAAATTTGGGAAAAACTGATCATAATTTAATGGAAAATAAACCACGGTGAGATCTCAAGTCCAGTATGTTATTCATCAAAAGATTTATATAGTAATAAGTGAAAAACGTATTTAAATGTTGGTAAAGATATTTGTCAAAAGATAACTTCATGTACGTGTTAATTATCATAGCCGAATATTCATGTTTTTCCTATTTCTTCTTTTGCTTTAAGTTATTAGTCTCAATAATTTACCGATCACTGTAAAGTTTCTCAAATATCACTGTTGTAACGCCTAGCAAATTTGACGGAATCTTATTTGCTCCTTTGTACTGTAACAATTCATTGAAGTAAATTGCTTATATACTTTAAAATTTAATCGACTAATCCGCTTGGAACGTTTTATGTGGGAAAAATGTAATTGTGGAAACAATTATTACTAGAAATGACGTGAAATCATTTATTGAGATGCTCAACCATAACTGCCTTATAAGCAATCCCTCTTCCTTCTATGCCCTTTAGTGATTGGCCCTACAGAGATGTTTTCTTTCTGTTCTGAGAAAAAAAAATTCTCTGTAGGGTTTTTTTCACATCATATCAAGTAATGACAGTTTCCCCGTACCAGACATCTTGGATGTCTCGGACCACATGAAACGTTTTTCAACCCGCTTTCAGTCTTTTGTGTTTGATTCATCGATCTCATTTTTGTTCCTTGCTTACTGTTCATGTCAAGTAAAAGCTTGTGAAGTTAAAAAATACCGGTCCTTCTCTCATTACGTTTTGTTACGTTTTCATTTCGCGTACGTCCAAATACCACACTTCCCGTCTCCAACCCCTCCCTCCTCCCACCCTCGAAAAATTCGTGACAACCGTAAATTACTTTTCGGCCAAATCTACAAGCTGGAGAAGCACTGTTGCAGTCATGTGTCAGATTGGCAGGTGGATTGCGGGAAGCTTAAGCTTTTTAGGGAAGAGGCGCGGCAGTTCCGCACATGGCTGTACACACTGATCGTCATTTTGTTGCCTCGGTTGCGTCACCTTCACTTAGTATGATTTTGCAAATATTCCCGCACTTTGTTTTAAATTAGTATTGTGCACTAATACACGTGTTCCTAAACTCAGTCACAGAGAGTTTGAAGAGATCCGCGATAATTCTTAAGATGATATTATTCGATCTCGGCAGCAACTTAACATTCGCTTACTAGCGGAATGTAGCTCCTCTTCTCTTGATTCGTCGCGAGAACTGTGTTGGCAATGAGTGATTTCCTGTTTAATTTACAGTTTGTATGTGTGTAAAGAAATGAATGTGACACCACTTTAAGGATTGCTGAATCTGCTTGTTGTGGTTCTTCAGTAGAAACATTTGTGGAAATTCATTTTAACATTATATCTATGTAACTGTGCAGCAGTGGTATGTAATCAGAACGGTTATCTTCGATTTCGAGATGAACTTTTTTTAAAGCGTCAGTTATATTCTCGTAAAATCGAATAGCAATGCGGAGAGTGATCGCTTTATTGATTACTGGAACACTGATTCTACTCTTTGCCGTTTTTTTTCGCACCTCCTTGACGCACGATGATGAGGTTGCATTTGTTGAAGATGACGTAGAGGAGATGGAGGTCTGTTTGAGTCTTTTTCAGTCATGATTTCTTCATCATAATATATAGAATACAGAATCTCATATAATTAGTTAAATGCAAGCAATGTAGATCATAAATAATATGCGGTTGTATACTTCCGGTTTACAATGGCACTTCATCTAATTATTGATGTTTAACAAGTGCAAATGAGGTTTGGTAATGGACTGGACTTTGGTTTATTCAAATTCCATTACAGTTGTTACCGGAACAGGCTTCCGTGGAATGTTGCGACACTGGCAGCGCTAGCTTCATCAGTAAACATTATCTTTTGGTATGTTTGTATTTCGATTTCTAGATTTTTATAATACAAAGCAAAAGACATATTATTGGAGTTCCTGAACAAATTTCTTCAAACTGAAGTAGCATACCTTTTAGGTAAGCACAATAGATGGCAAAATAACGGCCATGGATATCGAAAAAAATGGAGAGGTGGTGTGGACAGTGGATGCCGATAAAGTGCCATTGTTGTCGAGTTCACTTAATCAACAAAAAGTAATACTGTAATTATAATATTAGTCTTTTTTACAGTAAAAATGATCTTGCTCGGTTGTCAGTAAAATGCATCGCGTTGCAAAGCACATCAGATAAGGTGTTGAACTATTCTTCAGAAAGGGATTTCAGATGTCGGCTACATATTTAAAAATGTGTAATGCACATATTGTGAAAGTTTCTTTACTTAAAATTTTTTTTTTTCTCGGAAGTTTTGATCAGTGAGTTTATTTTATCCCAGCCGTTCTTAGCATGTCCAAAAATTCTTAATACATTCAATCAAGCGTAGTATGTAGGCTTTGTAATTTTACTTCCTTTCCTTGTCTTTAAGGTAATTTTTGTTAGTTGTATTTATATTAGAATTGTTGCGTGGATATACGTTTTTTGACCATATGTCGAATATTGCAGTTAGTTGCCGAAAATTTTCCATACATGTTGGTACCATCGCTTGACGGTTCGTTATATATGTTCAATGTGAAAAGTAGTTCGTTAAGTCTAATCCCGTTGAGTGCTGATGCACGGATAATGATTGGGAACGATGAGGTTGCTGGCGGGACATTTGTAACATCTACTGGGATCGATCCTCTTACTGGCAAGGTATTTCACGCTAAATCAGGATTCAAAATGTTTGCATTTCATAGTATATGACGTAAACTTACGTTTTTACTGCTGTAATGGAAAATTATATGCCTATAATTTTTGAGATACGATATCGATGTACAGCAGGGAGATGCATGCAGTACGAAATCACAACCAACGACTCATCGCTTTATACCCTTATTGTCCGGAAAAATACACAAATTGCTCGAGCTGCCGATCCTGTTACTGGAATAGAGAGGTGCATACATAAATGTCTATTGGATGGCTCAGCTAAAGAATTTTCTAAAGCTGTGACTTAGTATAGATAAATTTCAGGTGGAATTTATCAGTCGGTGAATATGATATTAGCCTGGTGTCATCAGATGATTTACTTCGTTTTGAAGTACCTAGTATACCTGCTCATATCCATTTTCTCTTGGAACCGCCGAGTGGTAGTGTTTCAGCAGTTGATAACTGCGGGAATTTGAAGTGGGAAAAGCGACTGTCAAGCCCAGTAGCCAGAGCTTGGCAGTTATCTCGTGGGAAGATTCTCGAGGTTGTTGCTCATATTGTTAATATATTGATTATTATTTGTAATAAGGAATTTTCGTTGATGGTTCCAAGTATTAAATGATCTTTTTTCCTACTAGAGCTTCAAATTGTTCAAAGTAGTGAAATTTTTAAGAAACAGTTGTGTACAGAACATCTATTAAAACTAGATAAGACTTTTTTTTTCAGATATCATTATTTTCTTCTGAAACTATAGGTGCACTAAGTGATTTTAGTGGAAGTGATCATCAATTTATCCCTAAATATGAAGCACCGTTTTATTTCGGTAAATCTTTAAATTTAAAGTATTGGAATTTATTTCCTGTTAGCGATTGAGATTGCCGCCTGATTAAGAATGGTAAAGATGCTAGGCATTATGGTGCAAATTACATATCGTTGGAACTTTCTTTTTTCAGACTTGAGAAAGTGAACAAGAAACTTTACAAAAACACCACTATAAGAAAATGAATTATTTCTTGGAAATGTTTTTAAACTATTTGTACCGCTAGCTTTCTTTATTTATGGATTATATATGTTTATTTGGTTCACTTATTTAGTGTAGAAACTGCTTTTAATTTCTTTGCACATTCATTTAATTTTATGGAAGCTTGGGTGCATTTCATCAACTAATAATTTTTTAGGAACAGTCAACTCAGAACCATATATTATACCCTCGGAGTATATGCGAGAACTGCATCGTACATCTGCGGATATGGGAAAGGAGTATCATCCCCAAACATTAGACTCATTTTATCATTCAAGAGCACCATTTTTGGAAGATTTGAAAGTTGGTAAGTTTTTGATGAGAAAGTGCTACAATAATCAGCTTTATTTCATTAATTTATGTTATTTACTGTAGTAAAAAACGATGATTCACTATCATGGTTGCAGGTGATTTGATACGGCGATCGTATAGAACGACTCGAAATGCAGCTGAAGCTAATCAGGTAAACAGTGTGAGAGATTCAGCAGCCTCGAAATCATTAACATGTAATATATACGATGCAGTTACCATTGCTGGCAGCAAAAAGCTTAAAGAAAACATTGAAGCGAAAGGTCAATTTCAAGAAATAATTAGATTCATAAACGTTTGTCATTACTACGAAGATCAGCGTTTAGCTCGTTTTCGTTTTCTTTCGAACTTTTCGGTCATATTTCCTAATCTTTGTGATGTTTGCACTCTTTATTCTCATTCATAACTCTTAGAAGTTTTTTTTATGTGCATTTTTAAGTAATGCATATGTTTTTGCATGTATTTCACTAAGATATTGCTCAGGTGATCATGGCTGGTACATCTTCAAACCGCTTCGCAAACCATGCCAAAAAAAAAACCTATTTCGAGAAATAGATCAAAAGAAGCGAAGAAGTTCATATAATTTTCCCTGCAGGCGAAGGAATGTTTTAGAAGGGCTGAAACAGATTGCCTATGAACCAGTTTCAGGATGGTGGTAAGGAAATGTTGTTATTTTAGACGTCTTTCGTCTTAAAAAAATCGACTAACAAAATCTGAATAAGAGGATAATATTGCATTCCAGTAGCAGTATTATGTGATAATGTAACATTATCGTTAGGTTTTATGCTTATAATGATAGATATTTCAGGAAAATCATTGCACTTTTATTGTCTTTAATTGCGAGTTCATTTGCCGCTATTATTATATTTTATTGGCAGCAGATTCGGCATCTCAAATTATTTGTTTTACTACATGATTTGGGGAAGAGGTCTCACAATCATTCGAATCTTTCACTTCCAGTTCGTTTTCCGCTCAAAAAAATTATCGACATTCTTTTAGGAATTGATGCAATCCTGTTTTATTTGCGATGTCATTGGTTAAAACCTAGAATTAAACTATTTCACTTCAAAAAATGGAACTTGTTCGGATGAGAGTCTCTAACCTAATATGAAGGGAACAGAATTTTTAAAGACAGTTGTATCAGTTACTGGGCAACATTTTCTCGAATATGGTATTTTATGAAAGATTTGGATTTCGGTTCGGTTAAGATATAGTATAGTCGTGAAAATTTGTGTTATGATAGGTACAGTTATTTGCACTGCATAACTTATGAAGCATCTCAGTGTGTTGCATAATATGCTTAAAGTTAATCCAAGTAGTGAAAATTACGAATGTGCTGATAAATGAATAGAATAACATTTACTGGCTAAAAAGTATCAGAGATATTTACTAAAACCATTTAAAAATACAAAATAAAAATATGAATTGCTGAACACAATTTTTAGTCGCTCCAGAAAATAAAGTATATGAATGTGGGTGCATCTGTTGGTACTCGGATGAGTCGAAAAAGAAGCACAACAACTTCTCACTCTGCGCAAGAGTCGTTTTCATCGAAGTAGGCATCAAATACATGTGTTGTTTAGCATATTTATAGGTCAGCTGTTCGTATTGATGGTCATTGAAATAGAATCCGTGTCTGTTCGGTATGGGGACTGTAATTGTTAAGTTTTTTTTTATACTTATCTGGTATATTCACATAAGGAAATTAAGAGATTTAAGGAAAATATGAGTAAAGATTAATTGGTGTTGAATAATGTGTCCTTTTTATGTATGTACAAGCGTTTCTGTTATTTTTCAGTGATTTCACTTATTTTATTATAATACTGGCATATTCAGATTTCTGGAAGATTTTGTACCCGAAAAATGGCTTGGACGTGGTGGTTATGGTGTTGTTTTTAATTGTCGCAATAGATTGGATGACCGGAGCTATGCTGTTAAACGAATCGCAGTTAGCAACACGTATGTTTCTCATTATTACTCGTTATAATTATAATAAAATGAATATTGCGAATATATATTCCCGCAATCGTTGCTTCCAAAAGAGGAGTCTGTAAAGTGTCGGGTGAACACCATTTGAAAAAATTAAATTGTTTAGTTAATTACATCTAAGGGCGTATTATTCTCAAATTTTCGGTTTTCTTAGTAGCAGGCTACAAAGATACTGCATGTTAACATAATATCAGCTTGTTCATACATTTCAATGCCGATGAGATGCTGGTTTTTTATATCGTTGATGCCAGCTTTTATTTGTTTAATCTTGTTTTTAAAGCTGTTCGGAACTCCAATACTTTTTAAGTTTTTCTTATCGAATAATTAAGAACTGCTGCAATTGATCATGTGAAACGAGAAGCGCGTGCAATGGCACGTCTTGACCATCCAGGCATAATCCGTTATTTCCATACTTGGATGGAAAAACCTCCTTCTGGCTGGCAACAAGCAAAAGATAAAGAAATTCTTCAGAACATGTATGTTTTCCAACTTCTCAAACGTATTTTCTTTTCGCCTTATTTTTTACTGTAAAATATATTTTCAGTCGCTTTATTGAGGATTCAGGGAACAAATCTATAATACAAACACTAGAAAATGACCAGAATACAACCCAGTCAAAAATTCTTGCAATTAAGGTATGCATTTCTTAGTAAAAAATTTACAGACCGGTTTTCTTATATCTGTACCTTTGCTGATGAAGTGCACAAGTAGAAAAGTGATAATAACTAATTTAGAAGAATAAAATTAAAAAACTTTACTGTATTGGGCTTTAATGTTATATTCGAAGACACAGCATGGGCAATGATGAAACATTCATATAAATGTAATTTGAGTAATTTAGGATTCATCACTTAGTGAAGAACTGTTTCATGGAGTAAATTTAAATACGTCTGCCAACGAAAAAGGTATTAGTGCAAGTGATGACACCGATAATCTTTCATGGATGGATGATAATAATGACAGTAAATTGGGAGGAGCGACAGAATCAGATTCATCTTCTGATAGTAATAGCGAGCCTATTGGGCATGGAATCACTGCCATAGCTAGTAACTTCTTTTCTTCCAAAAGCTTTTTCTGTAAACTTTTATTTGTTCGATATGTTCACTTTTCTGCAATTAAAAGTTCTTTTTACTATATTGCGGTTTAATGTTGTATTCAAGAACGTAATTTGTTCTTCACTTTATCTGCAGTTTGAGCAGTATCTTTTCATGGATCGGTCAATATTCTTCTTTTACTTCATAATTTTATGGTAGTACCGATAATAACTTTATTCAAATGTACTGAGATTTAGCAGTTCAAGGTTTTTCAGCAGGAAATGATGATTCGACTGACATAATTTTTGCTGACTGTGGAAACTCCTTGCGCAGTACTGAAGAAATCGCAGGAAAAAGATCAAGAAGTAGCAAATTACTAGATCCTCTCGAACCTCCCGCTGTTTTGGTCAGAAGCATGTGTGATTTACAAAGTTGTAAGAACATCAAGGACTATGTCTACCTTTATATACAGATGGAGGTGATCTTTGTTCTTTCATTGTGAGATTTTGTACAAAATATTTCACAGTTAAAATAGTAAAGTCAAAATTACAAGATAGAGTTGAAGTGACGTTCTCTAAAAAATAGAAATGTCGAAATTAATCGTCTTCAGTTGTGTCAAGAGTTAACTCTGCACAGTTGGTTGCTGGCAAATAACAGAGACGAACATCGTAAAATAACTCGAATGCGCAAATGGTTTGCAGAATTGGTCTGTGCCATTGATTACATTCACAATCAGGGCCTAATTCATAGAGATCTGAAGGTAGGTAATTTTTGAATAAATGAATCATTGTTGTCATGGCGCTATGTTTTTATCGTCTAATATACTTTTCATATTACAGCCCCAAAATATATTTTTTTCTGCGAATAACTATTTGAAAATTGGTGACCTTGGTCTTGTGACAAATTATGTTAATGCTGAAGAAAGGTCCGATTTCAAACAAGATGTCATAACAAATATTTCTCATACGAGTTATGTTGGTACTCGTCTGTATATGAGTCCAGAACAGGTGATTTTTCGCGTTTAAATAGTTACATTTTTTCAGGTTTCTTTTTTTATCCAGCACCATATTGATGTTTTTCAAGATTGCACTGTTAGATATACTTCAGTGTCTTGCTTGCAGTTGAAAGGCAAACCGTATAATGAAAAAGTTGATGTGTTTTCACTGGGTCTTATTTACGTTGAGCTCATTGTTCCCATTACAACTATTATGGAACGTAATAGCATTTTGTCCGGCTTGCAAAATGGTATCATGCCAAAATGCTTGGATAATCTTCCACCTAAGGAGGTAAAGGATAGATCCATTTTTTCCAACAGTTTTTTAAAATATCAGTGCTTGTCAAAGGTTTGCAACCTTTTAAAGGCTTTATATCTCTGTCACTAACGTCTTCATTATCTTTTCGCAGAAAAATATTTTGCTGACAAAAAGTAAATGTATTCATTCTAGAAAGTTTGGAAAGGTCTTTTGCAGGCCGAACCCTTCCAATTGCTTTTTTTGCCGTTCTGAGAAATCCTGTAGGCACTTCTCCTTGCATACTGAATTGAACTTGAATATAATGTAATCTTGTAGTAATTTTAGAAAAATTTCGTCGCTTGGCTGACAGTCGTCGATCCTGAGCTTCGTCCATCAGCGCGTCAGTTAGCCGAATGTGACTACTTGCAAGATGAAGTGAATATGTTAGGCACTTCATATTTTCGTAAACATACTTTCTTAGGAAGTCGATAAATTTATTTGGAAAAAATGCAATTTGCGGATGAATGCTATCAAAATGAATGTAAATGGCACTAAATCTTTCTGAACATTCTTTACTCTTCAAACATTCCTTCAGGAGAGTAATTTATCTATAGTGTAACTACGATTTTGTTTGTTTCGTGTTCATCTACTGATGTTTTCAGTTTGATTGCATCAGTCTTCATATTTGGTTCATTTTTGTCAGTAAGCATTTATGAACTGATTTAAATTTAAATTTCTGGACTCGGTATTAGACAATGTTAAATACGTGTTTGGGCATAGTGAGCTTGCAACTTCATTCAATAAGTTGAAGCCTTCAGCAGCTAATTCTTTCTAAGTAATTCGTACAAATTCTTTTGCTGTTCCACATATCATATCGTGCATTTTTTTTCCATTACATCTTATTAGGAAAATTGTTTACCTAGCCTTCGTTACATGCTTCAGTCATTAAAACCGGTAGAATTTTCTGTTGTCTTGCGTGGAAGGAAGGATTACTAAAGTATATAAATGATAGAAATAAACCTATGTTTACAACTATATTAAGCTTCCTGTGTAGTGCTGTTTCATTTCGTCATATCCCTGTTTTTTCTGATCACTTGTGCTTTCTACTTTTTTGGGCGAAGGTGTCGGAGTGACCCTTCAGTATTTATTCTTGGGCTGGACACAGTGCCTTTCCCGAATATTTCTGACATAACGTACTGTTATTGAAGATTTATCCCACATGAAAGCTTCTGAATTATGTTTATGGTTGTTTAAGAAACTGTACATATTTATGTCATATCTGTTATATCTTCTGCTCATTGCTTCAGGTTCAGACCATTATTGTTTTTCACAAATGGCATTATTAAAAGTGCCTTTTTTTCGCGTTTGTTGTAGCACGAATGCTATGTCAGTCAGTTTTCTTTCGGTTGCATATTAGCAGTTTACAAGGAATGAAAGAAATGAATCAAGTGATATGATATTTTTACGGTAATAATTTGGATTTCATAAGTAGAAGGGGATCCATCCGTGACTGAAAATTTCTCTCAGTGGAATAAGCAAATATCAAGAATGTATTCAATTTTCTGCAATGATATAGCTTGCAAGGTTGCAAGTCTTCTGTTAAAGTTACTAAGATTTTTCACTTTCATAGCTCCGTTTCAAAATTTATCCAGAAAAAGGGGTGAAGGGTCAGAGTTTAGGATAATGATATTGTCTGAAATAAGATACGGCTATTTTGTTTTACGGTAGAGCATCATTCAATTGGTCAGGAGATAGTATGAATTTATCACAGGAGGCTTACAGCGTGTCCAGATTATTTGCAGTGATCACTGTTTGAGAAGCCCGAACATGCACAACGATTCATATCGGTGAAGAACAAAGGGTAATGGCGGTTTATACAAAAGGCTAATGGCAATTTATACAAATAGCTATTTATAATGATCAATGGTAGAACAATATAAAGGAATATCTAGTGCTAGTAACACTGACTTAAATTTTGTGGTAAATATGAGTATTAATAATATTTTAAAACATGCAACTATTTTTATGTTACAAAGTTACTTGCGAGTTTTCAACAATTCAATCAACAACTGAGTAAATGAGTGTCAGCAAAGTGCGGTGGCCGATCAAATGGTAATTGCGCACCAAATAGGAAGTGACTTTTATTTAAAAAAAGTGATAAAGTGAACCGTTACTGCATAAACTGCATAAAGTGAACTATCCCCTACTGGGTGTTAAATGCGCTTACTGTATGCTCGTAGTAAGGAGATATGGACATACTGAAAATTACATCTTCTATTGCAAGAAGTAAAAAATTTAGTCGAACAATTGAAGACATTTTTGGCAGCTGGCTGAAGTATCAGGATTCAATAGCAGACTATGGGGAAGCAGCAGATGGACATGAAAGTAAATAAAGATTATTTATAAAGTAAACCTCAATACATCGATATGCATCGGCATTTATACACTGAGAATAATTCTTCGATATCGTGTTCGTCTAGATCGGCTCTATTTTCTACCGATCAGAGGTATAAGTACAAATTATTCTCGTCATATGTCGCGCTTTTTGAAGCATAAATACGATTTAATAATTCTCGAAGCACAGTGAAGTTGCTTGAAATGTCACTAGTAGAGTTGTAAGCCATGGAAGTTAGTGAGCAGGCAGGGTATTAAAATGAATGACAAAAGGAAGCAAATATCATCATCCATTTCTACTGCCACCTACTACAACTTCTATCGCCGATGTTGTTCCTATTCCTCCTACTGCGAATAGTATAGGAAATAGAAGAGGGTAACCAATGCCTTCCTATTGCTAGGACACATTGATCGGTTAGTTCTATCGTGTTATGGGTCACCTGCAAATCGATCTCTTCCAACATCCATCCAGTTGAACAGAACAAAAAAATTTATATGTATTCACTGATTGGTGCTGAAGTTGTTTTACAGCATACAAACACACACACACACACACATACACACATACACACATAT